TATAAACATGAAACATTTATAAGATCAGACCTTAGTTTGTAGCTCAGAACCTGAATGATCAGATTTTATTTTTGTGTTGCTCTATGCACGGAATAATAAACAATCAGAATGCCCACTCTCCATGGAAAATTAAGTACGCGCATCTCGTTCGTTTTAGAGGGAACCAGTGTTGTTTATGTGGTGTGCATAGAAAAATTAACCCTGTTTAATTGACTTCGGCAATCAGACATACTATACAATTATATTAACATTGTTAAATATAATAACATAAATAATAATATAATTAAACATAAATATACACAATTACATAACCTCACAAATCATATGTCTGTGTTATGTGTTTCCTTCTAAAACATGGCACGCATGCTGAAAAACTGCAAAGGCGCCATCTGGGAGTGGGCATTCTGATTGTTTATTATTCTGTGCCCTATGGATGTGAAAGTTGGAAATGGACTCAAAAACAGAAAAAATAATAAATGCCTTTGAGATGTGTATATATTTACAGATGCTGAGAATTTCATTGATACAAAAAGTTACTAACAATGGGATACTTCAGTTCATCAGTAAACAAAAAGAATTGCTAAGCATGATCAAAGAGAGGAAAATCCAATAATTGGGTCAGGCCAGTGTTGAGAGGTGAGAGATGTTAATTGCTCTGAATCATATTAGAAGGGGAAGTAAATGCAAAAGATCAGTAGGAAGATACCAGAACTCATGCCTGAAGGACTTGAGATGGTTTGACCATTTGTCTGCAGAAATCTATCATGTAGTAGTTTCCAAAGCTACAATTGTGATTTGGATTGCCAACCTTTGAAAGGAGATGGTGCAATAAGAATAGAGAGGGAATCTACATGTTTCAAAAGTCATTCTCATGTTAAGCATAAAGAATGAAAAGATTTTATTAATAAATAATTAATTTCTACATATATCATAAATTCCTATATCTTTGGATATTTTTACTACATTATTTTTCAAGAAGTATCTGAATAATATACATTTGTAGGATGATTTTTTTCATAATCTTTGTTTTCTTGAGGCTCCCTTTTTAGTCTGACCATCTTTTAGTCAATGTATACACTGCAAATTACACTTAAGATTACCAATGGGAAAAACAGCCAGAACAAGTCAGGAAAGGGTTGTCGAGCTACTGATGATGATGAAGACAAACTGCCAATATTCTAGTGTGATTATTATTCATTATATATGTATTCAGTGCACATATTCCAATGGTAAATGAGCAACCTCCATTCCTTCATCTGTAAGTGTGCATTAGATTAAACACTCTATGTGTATCAGAAAGTAATCTACATACTACCCAATGCATACTTTGAGTTTAAAATTTCAAATACTATCTTAGATAATGACTATAATACTGCATATTATCCACTGCCACTTTTAAAATCTATGTTGTGAAGATAACTCCAACTATAGGCAACTACTTGTTGCAGGACTAGACTTGTTGAATTTGAAATTAAACAAGCTACTGAAAGTTTTTAGTCTTTGTTTTGCAAAATATTTTTAGTTGCAATTTTTTTTATTTTTCTTAGAATCATCACAAGTTTTTTCTTTTGTATTTACAATTCTCCTAGTTTCCCAGCTTTTTCTTACCATTAAAATCATTAAATATAAGTACATTTCTCTTTGAATTGAATTATTCAGTAGTGATGAGTGTGTATGAAAATTCCCAAAAAAAAAGATAAGAAGTTAATTGCTATTACTCATCGCAAGTGACTAAATTTTATCACTTAATATTCATACATATTCATCAACACTTTTAGGTATTAGTACAGTTTAAAATATTTGATATTGAGGAGGAAGAGGTAAAGGAAGCATTACGGAAATTACAAGACAAAAAATTCACTAGGAGAGGATAGAACTGAACAAAGTGTGGAGGACCAGATCTGACCAAACAACTACTAAAACCAATCCAAAAAATAATAGAACAAGACAGAATTCCTCAAGAATGGAGATCAAGCATCTTAAAACCTCTTTTCAAAAAGGGAAACAACTTGGACCCGGAAAATTACAGAGGAAATAATTTATTAAACACAACACTAAAATTAACAACCAAAGTGATAACAAACAGTGAATGAAATTATAACACTAGCAGAAGAACGAGGTTTTAGGTTGGGAAGATCATGCACCAGCATTGTATTTATAATGAGGCAAGTGCAAGAGAAATCATTAGAATACAACAAACTGGCATATCTATGTTTCATGGACCTTAAGAGTAAGGCATTTACCAAGTCAAATTAAAGGATGTTTTCCACTTATTGTAAGCAAGAGAGATACCTTTAGGAATAATCAAAACTGTCGAAAATATCTACCAAAACAACACAATAAAAGTAAAAGTAGAAGAAGAACTAACTGACCCTATTAAAGCTGGCAATTTGATAAGACAGGGAGATTTCCGGAGTCCTCTCTTGTTAAACCTTATTATTGATGAAATAATAAGGTAAGAATAATAAAAAAAAAGGAAGAACTAAAAAAGGGTACCAGAAACTGCCAGAAAATTCGGCATGTTAATTTCCCCAAAAAAGACAAAATGCGTAATATAACAGCAAATTTATTAAGATATAAATTGGAATTGGAAGTTCAGATAATAGAACAAGTGATGGAGTTTAAATATCTAGGCATCACATTATTTAGCTACGGAAAGCTTGAAACAAGTAGAAGATCAAGTGAATACATCAAACAGAACTGCAGGTTGTCTGAATGAAACAATACAGTGAAATAAAAATATCGGGAAAGAAATTAAAGGCAGAATTTACAAAACAATCATCAGACCAATAATAATGACATACACAGCAGAAGCACAACCTGACACAGAGAGAACAAAAGGGATATTAGAAACATAAAAGTGAAAAAATATATCTTAGAAAAGACTGCTTGTTGAAATAAATTAAAGATATACAAGCAAATGTCAATATTATCTTCTCAAAGTAAGAAATTTTTGCCCTTGTTGTCTACAGAAATGAACATAAATTGTATTAAAATGTCTGCTTTCACTTGCTCCTTCTATATATCTTTTGTGACTTCCATATAGCAAAAAGAACTAATTTGCACCTACGTTATTAATTTACAAGTAAGCTTGTGTAGCCAAGGGAAATAGTAATAATTAGAAAGATAATTCAAAACACAAAACCACAAAAACATTCATTTATTTACTACAGATAATAAACTTTTACTATGTAGATATTTTCAACTCTAGTTCTAGTTGAATTTATGGTTTCAAAAATAAAATTTTTCACTTTTTATAAAACATTTTTCTTCAGATTAATTCTCAATTTATCCACAAAAATAATCTTGATTTAGTCCAATGTTTCCATTATAGTAATTTGGTATATTTAACGAGTGTGTTGAATATTTTTATTCGTAACATTTCTCTTTAAAAATGCTCTTGTTATTTTCCATATTTGGTGATATTTGTAGTCTTCTTTTTGCATTTTATAACCTTTTTATTGATGACTGAGTGACAATACCATCTATAATCATCTTCAGTTTTACAGACAGTAGGAGAAGCTGTAACTACATTTAAGGAATATGATTGCACTTTTCTAGTAATGTATATCAGATTTTATATCTGCCAGATATAAAATCTAATATCTTATACCAGTAAAACACCTAGTTTACCTTATTTTTGATGATACTTGATTAGTTTTATCTGATAGAGGTAATGGATCAAGAGCTATTAGTCATGCCGATTTAGTACACAAGTTTACCTGTTATTTACAAGGTCACAGCTCTTGTCAAAATCCATTACCTTTATCTATATTGTTTATCAATATCTATATGGTTTGAAGGCTATCATAGCCATAAAAATCTCAGTTAAGATCTGCCATTTTGACTTTGCAGGTATAGTTCTTCTGCATATTTCATCTCTTAAAAGTCAGTATATATCAAACATATCGTGATTTAATGGACATTCTTCTCATTACCCTTTGTTCTCATGAAGTAGGTTATTGATTAAAAGGGACAGTGAGCTGCTTTATCTGCTACAAAGGTCACTTAACATAATTCTTCGCTTGTTCATGGAAGATAATTGGGATATCAACCTAAATTATAATAATAGTGACATTCGCCAAAAGCATAGTTGCTAGTTTGAATTGACTAAAGTGAAATATCTAGCATTAGTAGTAGACAAAATTCTAACCTGGAATGCATATGAAATAAAAACATCTCTTTTCTTTGGAATTCAGATAAGCACTTGAACATAAGTCATTCAATAAGTAATGTGGCTTCATTGAAGGCCAACAGTTTACTCATTGGTAGTTTTAGGATCTCTTCTGGTTAAATCCTCAGTTGACCAAAGAATTCTTGTCTCTCATTTATCGCATTGCAATGGGATACTTGAGAAAATTTATTAAATAATACACAAACTTGCATAGTATACATCGATTCAATATTGAGTATTCTTCTTGAACAGTACAGATCTTCTGTTGGATGAAGGTGTGGCAATTGAAAAACATATTTAATAGCCCTGTTCTCTAATATTTGGTATATAACTATATATACCAAGGTACATATGGTACATAACCCCATATGATGGTTAAATAAGACATATGAGTTTATTAGAAAATAATACACATTGAAGGTTTTGAGCTTCTTTCTGGATCATCTCAGACAATTTCAAATGAATCTGAGTTGGTGATAAACTTTCTTTTATAATTTTAAAACTGGAAAACTCTTAATTTTGTCCATTTTTGACAACACTTATTTGATTACTTCCAATTTTACATGATGTCTATGGAAATGTTTACCAACATAAATTGAAAAATCATCTGAGTAGTATTGCAATGTCGAATAGGATCGAAGAAGAGAACTTACCATACATATTTACTAGTTAATGCAGAATGTGAACTGCATTATCTTAATAACACTAACAATAATAATTAATTCCAATGCCTGTATCATATTTAAGTTGGTGATATGTTTTATTTTTTCTTGTTATCAGTTTAATTAACTTTATTTATTAGTCTTAACTTCAATTTTTTTATTAGGATGCTTATTCCAATTTACCAATCGAAACAAAAGTAAGTCATCTGTTGGGAGCTATCCGCAACACCAGTTTGAGTCATGAAGCTCGTCAGATGTCTGCTGTGTTGCTGCGTAGGGTGTTTTCCAACGATTTCATGGAATTCTATCCAAAACTACCTGTGGAAAGTCAAAATCAGTTGAAAGAACAAGTTCTCTTAGCTGTACAACAAGTTGAGACTGAACAATTAAGGCATAAGGTGTGTGAGGTAGTAGCAGAAGTTGCAAGAAATTTGATTGATGATGATGGAAACAATCAGTGGCCAGAATTTTTACAGGTAAATATTGTTAATTTTTTTACTTTGTTCAGGTAGTTACATTTCATAAAGATTTTGGATAGAAAAAAGTAACTCTTTTGAAAATATAATAATTTTAGGTTAGGTTAAGTTTTAGCAAATTATAGGAAAATATAAAATATAATATGAAGGTCTAAGGAAAGTTGCACAGAGTTGTTAAAGGAATTTGTTCCCCAATCTCTAAATATCTCTTCTTGGTGTTCTAAATGTGTTTAGATCATATTTAATATAGTAAAATTTACGCAAAAAAAAACTATTTAATTAGGATTTACAAAAATATTGTTTTCTCGCAAATTTTATAGCTATACAAATACATTTTTTACTCAGATTTGGATCATTTCATTGCATAATTTTTCTCGTTGAACTAAATAATATTTTCATGCTCTCATTAAAAAAGAAGCAAAGGTGCATAGATTTTAGCAACATTTATTTAATTGTCTATATTTTGTCTATATAATTGATATAAAATAAACTTTCGTTATATTAAAAAGAGAAACATGACAGGCCGTTTTTGTTACATAGAACTAGAGCTGAAAAACGTGGCTCATAAGGAAGTTAAAAGTGTTCACAAAGTAGGAGACAATTTTCGGATTTACAAAAAATTGTTTGATCAAAATTTCTTGAAATCTGCTGAGTTTATCGTGCATGTAGATTAACTAACTAACCTCCATTGTTGAAGATCTGGAAAAATATTTTTTTCTTTTAACCCAAGAAATAATATTACCATTTATTTCAATTCATAAAGGCGAGGTAATATTTTATCGTTAGACTTATTTTCTTTTATTATCAAGTTGAATATTCAATAAAACCAGCTCCTCTCTTATTGTATTATTTAGGATTACAGAAAATACAGTTTCATATTTTAAACTACATTTACCACAACAACTATCATTTGTTAGTCTCTTCTTCCTTTTCTTGTAAAGGAAAAAGGACAGGAAGCAACAAGGAGGCTTTTAACGATTTACGACATAGACAACCAGTGAACCTCTTGTGTAATAGAAATGGCTCAAATTCTGTAGCAATGTTATCAAGTCAAAGTCTTTTAGATAAATAACATAATATGTGCTAAGTGTAGGATTCTTTTCCTTGAGTTTTTGAGCTAATGCTGATCAAACTGTCAGGGGTACTTCCTGGCTAATTTAATCTCATGTATTTAAATAATTCTGAAATCAAAGAAAAACTGTCGCAACTTTGTAAATCAAAACTTAATTTAGTCTTTCTAATACTTTCTTTTTCACTACCATTTTGAGTCAACCACAATGGTAAATGAGTTATGATGCTGGTATTAGTAACTTCCATGCAAAACGCATTGTACTATGCACTGTATAATTTCACTTACAATAGAACCTTTCTGCCTTTACGTGAATTTTGACTCTGCCTTCGCGCAGCTCCATGGTCAGGAGTGTTTGAACTATCTATACAAGCATATTCTGCCCTCCTTGACATCTCTTTATGTATAATAGGGAGATGCACCCTGTGGTTTAAAAGTCGTTGTTTATAAGATCTTCTCTAGCTTTGATATTAATATGGAACAACAGAAATGGTGCCTCATCTTAAGTGAATACCTCCTTTGGTGAGTTCAAAATTAAGGTAAACACATACCTATGACCTATGAGGTATATGGTTTAAGTTTAGGTTTAAACAAAACTTTTTAGCAAAAAAAGAGACACCCTTAGAACAGCAAGGAATGAAGATTTTTATGCAAAACTTCTGATGTTACACTAAGCCAAAAAAATTGACTGTTACTATAATGAAACTATACAGTTGGACAAAAAAATATTAGCTGGAAAATTGGAGAAATGTATTCAATCTTGGAGATTGGTATGTCAGTATTGGAGATGAGAGTAATTTTTGGTCGAAGCACCAGCAATTTTTGTGACATTTCTTGACACCTTGTTACTGTCTAGCTTCTAGTTGATTTTATGCAGTATTTTTGTATTCACAATGGTGTTGATAAATAAATTATATAATTCAAATTTGTATTTTAGTTCCTTTTCCATTGTGCCAATGACCAAAATCCAGTTCTCAAGGAAGCTGCACTTCAGATGTTTACAAGTGTTCCTGGTGTGTTTGGTAGCCAACAAAATAACTACTTGGACTTAATCAAGCAAATGATATTGCAAAGCTTGCAGCCTACTGAAGAATATGAAGTAAGGTTTCAAGCTGTTAGGGCAGTAGGTGCCTTCATGCTTATTAATGACAAAGAAACGCAGATTCTAAAACATTTCGCCGATCTTTTAACTCCCATGTTACATGTTATCGCAGAGAGTATTCAACAACAAGAAGACGATACTTTGTTAAAGGTTTTAATTGATTTAGCAGAAAATGTCCCCAAATTTTTAAGACCACAACTACTACCTATTTATGAGATGTGCATGAAGATTTTTAGCGACTCTGGAGCACTAGACAGTTGGAGACAACTCGCGTTAGAGGTAATTATTGTTAAATGTTATTAATATACTTATTTCATTGTGCTTTTAAATGTAGGTTATGGTTACTCTGGCAGAAATGGCACCAGCAATGGTTCGTAAGAATGCATCTAAATATATGGAACAACTTATTCCCCTAATTTTACAATTTATGGCTGACCTTGAAGAAGAATCTGGATGGGCTGAGTCAGATGAACTTTTGGACGAAGATAATGATTGTAATAACGTAGTTGCAGAGGCTGCATTAGATCGTCTTGCATGTGGATTAGGTAAGCTATATAGTTTAATCTTGTCATATAGATTTAAATACTCTGATACTATGTAATTTAGAGATTAAGTAGTAAGATATTAGTAAGTCTGCGAATTTCATTATTTTTCATGCATTTTTGCAGAACAATCTTTTGTTATTGACAGACTCTCATATTCGTTTCCCAGATTCCTCAAAACGATTTACAACTTTCAACATTATCACAAAAATACATGAAAAGCCTCAAATGTAAGATATGCTGAAAGATTTTAGTGTTTCATCTTTTAACTGTTAAAAATAAAGTTTTGCCAATTTCACAGAAGATTACTCCATCTAGTCTAGTCTGTAAATGTCATATCTACTTATTTTTTTAAAGAACATTTTCTGGAGAAGTATAGTATGTGTTAAATATGGATAAACTAAAATGTAGTCCCTTATTTTTTCCTGACAGAGAAATACTTCATTTTAATATATTTGTAAATTAAATTTTTGATGTATTACCTATGATTATAAAAATGGATCCAAGTAATGATTTATCTGATTACAAATGTATATGAGGTAATATTTGTCATTTTTTTTTTATTGTAATCACACACAATTTTAAATCATTACTATATATTTGATTATATTTTCAGGGGGTAAAATCATTCTTCCTCTCGTAACTCAAAGTGTTCCCAGTATGTTGGCAAGTCCGGATTGGAAGCAAAGGCATGCCGCCCTTATGGCTCTAAGTGCAGTTGGAGAAGGTAACTAGTACAAAATCTACTTAAGTGTAACCTATATATTTATGTTATTATCTTTTTAAGGTTGTCACAAACAAATGGAAGGTATGCTTCAACAAATCATGAACGGAGTTCCTGGTGTAATGGATGGTGTTTTACGTTATTTACAAGATCCACATCCAAGAGTGAGATACGCGGCTTGTAATGCCGTAGGTCAAATGGCAACAGATTTTGCACCAGTTTTCGAAAAGAAATTCCACAATCAAGTAGTCCCCGGTTTGCTTATGTTACTAGATGATAATGCCAATCCACGAGTCCAGGCTCATGCTGGTAAGTTTATCAGTAAAAAGAATACAGCACATCCAATTAAATAAATGCAATAGACTTCTGTTTGATAACTAATGAAAACAAAGTAAATTAAATTGACTCCACAACATGACTCCAAAACGTTACAAAACCACTTTATCAAAAAGGTAAATTGTATAAGCCACAAACAGGGGCTTTGCGTTAAGTCACATAACGTCCAATAACATGAAATACTCTCCAAGCTTTCCATTGCTCTTACAGCTTTCAATTTTCACAATTAGAAAGAACAGTTGCATTGTATTATCTATGATTATAAAAATGGATCCAATTAATGATTCTTTTGATTACAAAAATATATGAGATAATACATACTCGAAATTATTCAGCTAAGAATCACAAATAAATCTGTAGTATGAATGACAAAATTTACAAATTTATTTTTAAAATAAAACACCGAAACGCGTTTTTATTTTATGATATGTTTTATGTTAATGTGTGTTAGAAAAGAATATTTAATATTCACTTTATATTGTAGGAGCTGCTTTGGTAAATTTCGCTGAAGATTGTCCCAAACATATACTGAACGGATACTTAGAACCACTGATGAGTAAACTTGAAGGGATTCTAACTGCAAAGTTTAAAGAATTGGTAGAAAAGGGCACCAAATTGGTATTGGAACAGGTTGTGACAACTATAGCTAGTGTTGCAGATACAGCTGAAACTGAATTTATAGCTTATTATGATCGCTTAATGCCGTGCTTAAAATATATTATTCAAAATGCTAATAAAGATGAGCTTAAATTACTCAGAGGTAAGTAAATCATGTACAATAATAGACATATCCTGTATCAAAATTCCATTTAGAGTGGTTCAAAAACCAGGCAGTTTTTGTCAAGTTTTTGAGTCACCACTGTATCAATAAATTAATAGTTTGTGAAAACAAATAAGAAACATACTAGTTAGGAATTGAACAAAGAATAAATGTCAATATACATATCGCACCCTCAGTGGAAGACTGCAGTAACTCAAAATTTTATGAAAATTAAGTTATCATGGAATTCGATTGTAAACATGCATATCTATCCCCTGTAAAACTTTAGTAACTTTCAAATGCTTAACTGGCTTAATATTACAACAACAACAGTTTAACTATTTTGCGATCTTGTACATATGTTCCGTGCAAACTGTTGCAATTCTAATGTAACAGAGTTACAACAGTTTTGCAAGGAACATTGCAATGCTTTCGTTAACAAGCAATGAAAGGCACCAAAAAATAAGACATTTGTTATTTTAATATCTATATCTGTGGATTTTAATTTTAATATACAGCGGGTCTACGTAATCCATTAACGGCCGAGACAATAAACAAAGATTTACGAGACCAATCTATTCGTGTAAGTTTTATGTCATTTGTATGACATATTTTCCATAAAATGTGTGCGATGTAGTTTGACCATTTATTTATTAGATTGGATTAAAAACACATAAATTAAGACTAATTATTTACAGCCAAAAAGTATTTTCTCTTGTGAAAGGAAAAACAGTTATCTTAAAACTTATGTATTAACAATACTGACACGTTAAAAATATCTATTCTCAGAAAACTTCATGTAACCTTTCGGGGCGATTGTCTTATCATATTGTCCGCCCCCCGTAATTCCCAACTTTTACTAAGGTAGTGAATTTCAATCCTTTTGTTAATCACTGTACTCAAGGTATCCTGATTTGCATATTTTTATTATAGTCCTTTTGTTTTGAATTTAAATAAAAATATTTTTTAATATATAATAATAAATGAAAGTTTTACAAATAATTTTTCTACCTTGTTGTGACATTGTCATTACAAAGTGAAGGAATTGTGGCTATCAGAAACATGTGCAGAGATAGAAAGATTAAATTGCCGCTAGCGATAAGCCGTTTTATTAGGTACCTATTTATTTTAGCTAGCTATCTGATTTCTTGAAATCCAATAAATGTAAAGTTTAATATCATACTAAACCCCGATTGCTGTTGGGGATTATTTTTCCCTTACTTACCCGATGATTTATTGGAATTTATTAAACGTATATACCAAACCGCATAACTTTCCTTTTATCTCCCAGGTGATTTCTGGGAATCCATTAAACTTAATGTTTAGTACTATTCCTATCATTGTTGGAGATTACTTTCTCTTTACCTACCCTGATTAACTCATTAGAAACAAGTTCTCAGGGAAGATGTACGAGTAGGTTCATTTTAGTAGTGTAGTTTTTAATATAATCTGTTATTAGCCCTTGCAAGTGATAGATGCAGAATTAACTATTTCGAAAATGTCAAAATTTAATAGTTCCAGTACATTGAATATGTGTGCGCAGACAAGTGAGGATAGCAACGACATGCAGAGTAAGTTGAATTCAAATTGAGTGCTGAAGAGCGGTCCAATTTATGTTCCTACTGAATGGGCAACTGTAGTGAAATGTAGCAAAAAAAAGTGGTTCATCCTACATAGTCTGGGAAATGGAAACAAAGGACTTGATTGATTTTAAACATGTTTCCTTTTTGTTGGGAAACAACTATAATTTTTTTTTTTTTGTAAGAGATGAAAATATTTAATTTTAATTTACATAATATAACAAGCAACACAACGTTTAAGCATAAACAAATCAAATCACTCGGGAGGTTTTTTCTTCAAAAATTTGTTGTACAAGTATGCAGAACATAGAAACGTAATCGTAGCCAAAGATACATTTGCACGACCTTTGATAGTTTTGTTGTTAAAATATCTGCTTAATCCTTTTAGATTGGGATCGTCGTATGGATCATGTCCCTCTGCCATTAAAAAAAAATTCTTTTAATCTAAAAAAATCATCACGGACTACACATAATATACGAGAAGTGCTACTTATACCTGCCTACAAAGAATAACCAAAAATTCAAATGGCCAAAAAGAAAGATTTGTTATACTTCTGCCATTCGGGTCTGATACCAGAAGCCCACCATGGTTTTTATAAAAATATTTTGGGCCAAGATGATACGAGAAGAGGACAACAACTAACAGAAAATGTGTGTTCACTTTTGACAATTTTCTCCATGCAAAAGTGTTTGAAGTAACTTTGAAATTCCTAATTTTTTTAGCATTATTTAAATTTTTTATTTTTGGTTAATGTAATATAGACTGAAAAGCATGCAAAATCATAATTAAATGTTAATTTTTCCTAAAACTTCACCGATATTAGCAAGAAAATAAACAAAATCGTCTTTATCTTGAAACTTACTTATTCTGACTTACTGCAGTTTTGCACTGAGGGTGCGATGTATTAAATCCTTTGCATATGATAGTCCTGATTCTGTATAATCCTAGACAATTTAGATAAAATCAATGGAAAAGCCAAACAATGTCACCAATAAATGTTGCTAACAGTGAAAGTGTAAAAAAGCAAGAATTAAAAAGTACATGTGCTTGTATTGATCACACCTATCAACTTATTTTATTAGACACTATCTGTAAGCGCATGCGCAAAGTCATTGACAAAATTTTTATCAAAATTGATTCTCCTCTTACCAAGTCAACAAAGTAAATAAATATTTCTAAGAAAACTGTTACGTAAATTTATTAATTAAGAACATGAAACTAATGTCCAGTTGCACCAACAAATAAACGATTGATTTTTTGATTTGGATTGCCCGTTTATTTTAGAATATGTTGCACCAACCATTACTCGATTGGAACCGACTGTTTTTGATCTGTCAAAAGTAACCAACCGATTTTCTACGGTTTAAAAAATCGACTGTTTTTACTACACACTACACACACAAAATTGCAAGAAAAAGAATGTTAATTATAATAGTTCAATGTTCAAGTGGATTGGCATAACCTCACAAAACTTTCTTTGTTGACAATCTTTTTGACAGATCACACTCCGATTCGAATTAAATAATCGAAATACTCTGTACTCGTGCAATGTTGCCACATATAAATTGTCGGTTTGTAAACCAATGGTTTTTTAGAATGGTGCAACTCATTTGAAAAATAACCATTGATCGTTGATTTAAATCGTCGAATTGATGGTTAGCAAAACAGTTGATTTACATTCTGTTGGTGCAACTGGGCATAAGCATTTTATTATTTCATATGAGTTTATGTCACCAAAAATTGTAGGTTGTTTTCCAGTTTGGCATGTGTAAATTGCTAAGTCAAAGTGTATTATTCTGAATATTGTTTAAAGGTTTTGCTTGATACAGTCCTCAAGAAGTTAAAATTTTAGATGTTGTGTACTTAAATATTGATTATTCATTACAGGTAAAGCTATTGAATGTGTTACATTAATTGGTATGGCAGTTGGATCCGAAAAATTCAGCATAGATGCAACAGAAGTTATGGATATGTTGTTGAAGACACATGGGGACGGAGCTGAATTACCCGATGACGATCCCCAAACTAGTTATCTTATTTCCGCTTGGTCTAGAATATGTAAAGTAAGTTTACATGTACAATTTTTAAGATTAAATTTAACCTTTTCTTCGAGTTTGTCCAAACACGACTGTTACCTTTATTACAATAAGAATTACTGTTTCACAATATAAGAAATATTGTTCCTCATTTGACGGTTTTTTAGGTTCTTGGTAAGAATTTCGAACAATATTTGCCTTTAGTAATGGGGCCAGTAATAAGAACTGCAGCTATGAAACCTGATGTTGCCCTTTTAGACAACGACGATATGCAAGGGGTAGAAGGTGATGACGATTGGCAATTTGTATCTTTAGGAGAACAGAAGAACTTCGGAATTCGCACGGCAGGTAGGGTATTGTCATACATAGTCCAATTCAATCACGCCATTTTGAAAATTTTATTAGTTAAAACTTCTATTCCGTTTCATTTCAAAGTACAGGACTAGTGCTATTTTCAAACAGACTTCAATTTTTGTTTTTATTTCATGCATATGAATATGTGCCCTTTTCACACAAAAAAATGTCCAAAAAAAAATCAAATATCACCAAAAAGTGATATTTTTAAAAAAGGTGTGACTTATTCCCTTTTCAAAATAACCGGTTCAATTATTTTTTTAAAGTACAGTAAATTTTTATTTTCATAATTTTTTTAACACAATTGAGCAAATAATATCTCATTATTAATCACACATTAAAAAAATATATATATTGACATAACAGATTAAAATACTTTTTAATAAAATTTTATTAAAAAACCTTTATAAAAGGTATATATTTAAAAACCCCAACGGGGTAATTATACAAAACGTTTTCGGAATCCATATTCCATCATCAGTGTCTAGGAGTACATGAATGTAGCCACTAAATATGTGGGTAAAAACCCGTTAACAAATAATTAGTTACATTTGGTTTACAATATTTCTTATAATATGTTATGATGTTAAAGTTACCATTGGATAAGGTAACATGGCGATATATGACTCCACATTGAAGTTGCTAGTCCTGAGACGGTGTGTCTACGAGGACTGTATGGAAGCAACTCATATTCGTGAAATGGCAATATAACCGCACCACTGATCGCCAATTTTTTAAATCAATTCAATGTTTTAATTCAAATATGTAATAAGGCAACCCTCCCGCCGTTTCTTACGTATAAGCTGGATTGGAAATAATCGTCTGGCGTTCCCTAATGGGTGTATATAAAGAATGTGGAGAGGAGACCTAAGGGAAATATGATTGTTTTCTTTGTCTATTCGCTGAAAATATGATTTTATATCTGTTAGATATCCTGTTAAATTCTACCATACCGAGCATAAACTTTTACCTATACCATATAGATGGCTGAGAAAGTGAGGTTTAGTCTTAAGATCACTCCAACTGCATTTTTTTGGACTATAAAGACAGTTGAGCTATCCACTGCAGCACCCCAGAAGCACAGAATAATAAACAAACAGAATACCCACTCTCCACGGAAAATTAAGTACGCGCATCTCCTCCGCGCAGACGTTCCGCCATGTTTTAGGAGGATTTTAAAGAAATTAGTGTTGTTTATGTGGTGTGTATGGAAAAATTAACCAGGTTTATTTGACTTACGGCAATCATAGACATACTATACAATTATATTAACATTGTTAAATATAATAACATAAATATAATATAATTAAACATAAATATAAACAATTACATAACCACACAAATCATATGTCTGTGTCCTCCTAAAACATGGCGCGCGTGCTGAAAAACTTCAAAGGCGGCATCTGAGAATGGCCCTTCTGATTGCTTATTATTCTGTGCCAGAAGATTACTCCATATCATATTACAGAATAAAAGTTTGCATAATATACTGAACGTAAAATGCCCTGGTCTTGATACTTCTTTACATAGATAAGATTTACATTTCTAAATAATGTTGTTTATTTCAGGTCTTGAAGACAAAGCTGCTGCCTGTAGTATGCTTGTTTGCTATGCTCGTGAGCTAAAAGATAGTTTCTCAAATTATGCTGAAGAAGTCGTCAAACTCATGGTACCAATGCTCAAATTCTACTTCCACGATGGCGTTAGAAATGCTGCTGCAGAATCTCTACCATGGCTATTGGAATGTGCAACAAATAAAGGACCTGCCTTCTTAGGTGGTATGTGGAGTTTTATTTGCCCCGAACTGCTCAAAGCCATTGACACTGAACCTGAAAGTGAAGTTTTAATGGTTATGTTAGACTCATTGTCAAGGTGTATTCAGAAATTAGGACCGAGTTATATTGATCAAGAATCCATGACTGAAATTTTGAGGATAATTGACAAATTAATGAAAGAACATTTTGAACGAGCCAATGATAGACATAAGAAACATTTAGACGAAGATTATGATGAGGTAAGCCAGTACTTTTATACTCATAATTAAAATTTATAAAGTTATATAAGAACAAAAAACTCGTTTCGCAAGATACCTTCTGTTGTCAAGAAACTTGGAAAGAACTATCTAAATTTGGACCATGTAGTCATTGTTTGATAATCAACTGTTGTCACTCTGTATTATATAACTTTTTCGTGTTAAGTAAATTATGACGTGCTATACAGAAATATTCATATTTGATATATAATGATACCTTAATCATTTTAGGAAGTACAAGAGCAATTGGAAGATGAAGAATCAGATGATATATATGTACTCAGTAAAATAGCCGATGTTATTCACTCCCTATTTCTAGTATATAGAGAAACCTTCCTGCCGTTGTTTGATCAGATTTGTAGTCACTTTGTTAATCTTTTAACCCCTAACCGCAGCTGGGCAGATAGGCAATGGGGAATATGTGTATTTGACGATGTTATAGAATTCACAGGTCCAGCATGCTCAAAATACCAAGGCTATTTTCTTCAACCTCTGGCTTTATACATCAAAGACAAGACCACTGAAGTTAGACAGGCAGCAGCTTACGGATGGGGAGTGCTAGCGCAATTTGGAGGTGAACAATTTGCGGGAGAATTAGCTAAAGCTGTACCAGTTTTAGCTGAAGTTATAAATGAACCTGAATCAAAGGACCCTAGGAATATTAATGCTACTGAAAATGCTATATCGGCTGTTACTAAAATTATGAAGTATAATAACTCACAGATTAACCTTGACGAAATTATTCCCCTGTGGTTCTCCTGGTTGCCAGTTATAGAAGATGTAGACGAATCACCTCATATTTATGGATATATGTGCGATTTAATAGAGCAGAATAATCAACACATTTTAGGTAAGTCAAATCGATTTAATTGAACTAGGTATAAGTTTAAACAAAGCTTATATCTGAATTGACAGTAGAAAGAACTATTAGTGCTTAAGTGACTAGTAATAATAAAACAAGTTGATTGTATTATCTATGATTATAAAAATGGATCCAATTAATGATTCTTTTGATTACAAGCTTATATGAGATAATACATATCAATGGAATATTTTTTCTCTCAAAATACATTTCAAAAAATGTTCAGCTAAAGTTATTAATCTATTTAGAGTAGGTTTCATTATTTTTTATTTCTTAAGGTCACTTGTTTGTGTGATTAATTATTGTGCCAAAATAGTTGTAGTTTTCTACTTGTTCTCAAATACATCTTTATACTATTTTGGATTTTTGTGTCCCCTTAAATTCACTTTTCTTGATGGAGTCGATATTATTTTCACTAAATTCACGAACAAATACTTACAATATCGGGATAGTATTATGAGGTTTTTTTCCTGGTTTTTCCCTCATAATTTACTATGGAATCACTAACAGGAGAATTTTACTGTCATCATGTCATGTGTTTGTCTTTTTAAAGACGAATTACATGCTATGATTTTTTCTGACGGATATTCTCAAGTTAAAGTTGATTTCATGTAATCGAATGAACTATCTTATAAGTAAAGTCGTCCCAGGAGCGCAACTCAACAATATTGGCAATACCATTTTAAAGTCGTCTACTTTAAAATGCATAATGTATGTCTGAATTGTCAATATAAATGAGTCAGATAAAATTAAATTATTAGAAGAATTTTTTCACTATGTAACAAAAAACAAAATTTGTTTAATTTACTGTTTGTATTTTGAGAACGATTTCCGAATTGGAAATTGAAACGTCAATAAACGTATTTTTATCTTTAATTGTGGCTTATTCCCAGTTATAAATAGTAATTGATATTATTTTCATACTCAACTATCTTGTTCGTTAGTCTTTGGAGGTCGTGGAGGTTATCTGCCATTATGACAGTGCCGTCTGCATACCTAATATTGTTAATTGGTGTTCCATTGACCTTTATTCCAGCTGTTTCTCCCTCAAGAGTTCTTTTCATAATTTCTTCAGAGTCCCTGAAATCCCTGTATATTCAATACAGTAGTGGCGACAATACACATCGCTGTCGTACCCCTCTTTTAATTTCAAACTCTTCTGAAGTGTGTTCATTAATGCTTATATGTGCCCGCTACTTAGAATGTTGATTATACGCAGTGGGATTCTAAGTTTGGTTTTGAGGATATATGTTAGCTGTTTATGGCAGACTTTATCAAAAGTATTTTTATAATCTACCAAACAGATGCTCATATCTTCGTTAACATCCAACCATCTCTGAATTAGTACATTGAATGCAAATATAACTTCTCAGGTACTTAGGCCTATATGGGATCCACATTGGGTTTCTTCAATGTCCATAGTGCATGCAAAAGTGGCAAATCTCATTGATCAAAAATAATTTTTCATAACAATCCTAATACTAGATATGAAATAAATTTAATACAATCCGTGACAACCAAACTTTAATCACTTGTCCAAACCTGTCCAGTTTTGAGTTGTGCCACTCTTGCATGCAGCCGACTATATCGTTGACATTATTGTCATACCTCATATGGGATAAAAGTACAGTTTTCAGGAGCGACAAAAAACGTTCTCAATATGCTATCACCTAATTATATTAAAATATGTTCACTAGTTTATCAGTATAGATACAGCAGAACGACTACTGCATACAAAGAAGTCACATTCCAGAATAAGACAGAAAAGTTTAATATATGAGGTTTGGTTTTTACGAATTACTTTTCCATACGAGGTTCGGGAACACCGATTATAATAAATAATGTTATTAGTTTTTCATTTTATTTCTAAACTGGAAAACAAATACATTAAACAAGAAATGAAATATGTACTTAATAATACTTTAAATTTTTATAAAAATCATGATAATATGACTTCTATGACTTTTATCAGTTCCTGCAGGTGGTCATACTTGTGTTTAGGAATACCAGGAGCTATATAGTATAAATGATCGGGTTTTTCTGTGGAAATTTTTGAAGTTCTGTGAGGAAGTGGTTTCCAATCGTCATGTCATTTTCAATTTGTATTCAATGCGAACATTGGTTCCATTGTACTTTAGGGCTCTCAGATCTGTAACAACAGGATCACCTACTTTTTTTCCTGGATGAATGGAATTAAGATATTGTAAATTAGAGTAGTCTTTAAAAAAACTCATGGTTTACATAAATGCCATTTGCTAATTCACTTGATGTAACATATCTTTCAGCCTCATGCTAAATGTAGCATGTCACCTCATGAGTAACATTATTAAAGATAGTAAAATTATGGACAATTAATATTTTTCTTACAGTAAATAACCGATGCTTTTACTAAAGGGCATAGAACAGCTGTAGGTCCATCGTGACTACCAGTATACATCTGTCTAATTTTGCTCTCTCTCTCTATATATAATTTTTCTTCACTTAGATTCTTGATATCGTTCGTACAACATTGATCACACTGATCCTTTTGGGTTGAAACAAACCAATATTCATTCGGACAAATACGTTTTTAAACTTATAAATAGTGAAGTGGTCTCGGATTCTCTACATTTTTCTACATAGAGATCATATACCTCTTTCTTCAATTTAAAAATTGATTCCATGTACATTTTACTAGATTGCAATCTGCAATAATGTGAAGGCATCTCCGGCAACTACTATAAGAATGTCTCCAAATATTTATTTTGCTCAGGTTTTAATGGTGTTGTTTTTGTTGTTCTTTTTAAAGCCCAATCTCTCGCAGTCCACTCACTAATTCCCAACATATGTAGAAACATAAGTTTACATACACATAATCTCGTGTTATTTGTTTTTAAGTGATATTTTAAACTAAAGGACTTTTTGTAAGATGTAGTGTCTACATTATTTCTAGTACTTGGTACAACTACATCTATTAATCCTAAAATAAAACTTTTGACTCCAATCCAAATCTTGCCAAAAATGATTGAAGATGATAAAGTTGCAAGAAAAACAAAATGCCATATATTCAAAACCTTAATAAGACTGGTACTCACATACGGCTCAGAAACCTGGACGACCTGGAGACCTGGACCTAAAAGAGAGGAAACATTGTTAGCTAACCTTTGGAAGAAAAATCTTGCGACACATATATAAGGGCACAAAAGAAAACGGAATTTGGCAAAGAAGATACAACTTCGAACTATACAAAATATACCAGGATCCAGTTATTATAATATTCATTAGAAAGAATGGAAGAAGGCGAAACCCAAACAAAATATTCAGAGGCCAGTAGGAAAAAGAACAAGAGGAAGATGCTATAACAATCTTAAAAATAAAAAACTAGATAAAAAAGCATGAAACAGATCAGAATGGAGAAGAATCCTGGAACAGGTCAAAACCCAAAAAGGGTTGCCGAGCCAGTGATGATGGTGATCTTCTTAGGGTGCCTGTCCGTTCCGAATGTTGGCGATCATTCTGGCTATGATGACTTTGTTGGTTGCTATATGAAATAGTTGTGTTGAGGTCTTTCTATACCATGCTCTCAGGTTAGCAAGCCAGTATATTCTTCATCATGGGGCTCTTTGTCCTTCAATTTTACCTTGTAAAATGTATTGAAGTAGCTTGTATCTGCCTTGATTTCTCATTATATGACCCAAGTACTGCAACTTACGGCCCTTCACGATGTTGACCAAATCCGCAGTTGTGTTCATCCTGCGCAGTACTACTTCATTGGTGACTTTGTCAGTCCATGGTATCTTCAAGATCCTTCTGTATGACCATAGCTCAAAAGCCTGAAGTTTTGATAGAGTTTCCACCTACAATGTCCACGTTTCTACTCCGTACAGAAGCAGTGTCTATATTTTGCCTTAATACACGAATTACTAGTGCACGTTGCACCAAGCTGCCTGTTCTTTTTCAAGACTGGAACAATTTTTTCTTTTGATTACTTTTGATCGACCTTGATATTCCTCTCCTCTTTGTCGTTTATAAATTTTGATATTTTTTTGCCATAATGATAAATTGCCTTGGCCCTTTAATGCGCTTTTTCTCAGAAACATATCAGTTTTCTCGAAAACATTTCTCAGTTACCGGGGGTTAAGCGAAAAGTACTAAATAGTACAACAACCCACGACATGAGGTCGGATTACCCGAAGGGTCGGATTAACAAGATTCTACTGTAACCCTAAATCCAAAAGTAAATGATAGAATATTTATATATAGAATTTTATTTTGATAAATGGATCTGTCTGTATTTTGTTGTATTGTATATACTGTTCTGCACTACTTAAATATTGTTAAGATCGTTCAACAAGTTTATTTTTTAGGCGTAAATAATTCCAATATACCAAGGATAATCAGCATAATTGCAGAGGCATTCTTTAGGGAGGCTATGGAACCAGCCAAACCGGAAGGCTTTAGAATGTTAAACATTGTTAGGCAAGTTCAATCAAATGAATCGTTTTTCCAAAGCGTGGTCCAATCTCTGGCTCCAGAACTGCAGCAAGCTTTACACGTGGCCCTACATACAACAGCAACTACATCTTAGCTGAAAATATAAATTTAAGTTATTGTTTTTAACGTTCATTTGATTAATTCAGAGTTGAAATAAAACATTACGAACTGTTATCGGACAGTTCTAAAGAAATCTGCATCCATAACGACATTTAGACTTTTATCGCTTATTAAGTATTTAATAATTGGAAAATATTTTAAGTTGGCGATTTATGGTGTTAATAACTTCATATAAACATGACAATGTTTTTTATTAAACTGTACCGTTTACTTTTGTGATTTTCAAAGTGTTTTAACCGTCTAATTATCTAAAAGGGATGCACATTGTTTTAGAATATCCATATATAAATTATTTTTATATTTGTGAGTTATAGGTAAATCTCGTCATGTGTAGTGATTACATAGAAATTTTTTACGAAACTTTTTTATAATTACCTAATCAACAGGTATTTGTTTTATGAATTCATTATTGTACATAGATATTCACAACTCTGAACTATATGTGATACTTTTTGTTTTCATTAAATTCATAAAATATTTTTGTCTACAAGATCGACGTTAGTGTTTAAAAAATATGAATCACTAATGAATTATAAATATCTCAATAAAATGCATTTCTCGATGTTAACGTTTTTTATTACTCTTCAGTCTTCCTCTCTCTATAAAATCAAATACCCAAGGACGACTGGATCAATTACATCACTTATATAAGGTAGATGACGCAAAAGATGTCAGCAACACACTGAAAATTATTTTAGTTAATGCTAAATCGTGTTGTTCCGTGCAAAACCAACAAGAAGTATGAAGGAGATAATTCTCGGATCAGTAAATCTCGGACCACTAATTACCACTTTGGTCCGCTACCCAAAACGTTGCGCTAGTCCATGGATCATATTTGCGAAAGTAAGTGACAGAAAGTGAAGCATTTTCAATTGAGCGTTAATAAAATAATGAAGCAGTCGCTATCATATAATAATGGTCGTTATTATTTGCTATTTGTAACATAAGAAAGGACGTGGATAAAAAACACAAGAATTAAATGAAATTAAACCAATATATATATTTATTTCTTCAACGTTAAAAAGGCAATTCACAATAAACAAAATAGTCTCATTAAATCAGTACAAAAAATATTGCCAGAAAATGGTAATGATAAAGAAACAATACCTGCTTATAACTATATTAATAACAATGTATAACAAGGTAAAAATATATTGTGGTATAGTCGGCACGTAATTTCTTGAGAAAATTTACAGAGACCAAAACAAGCAAAATACTAGTAAAATGGCAACGCTGTTAGAGTTACCACTCCTTTATTGTAGTAGATAGTAGTAGAACAGTAGCGTAGATATCTAATTTTAAATTAAATAAAAGTTTTTACTTTTATTTACCAAAAAGTTTCATTTTCTATAAAGTTTAAATAAAAAATATCGGTGTTTTTAACTTCTGTGATATATCTTGGGAGTGATAACACTAATCGACTCGACTGAACAGAACTTATTGTAAAATAATAATATCTATATAAAACATTGTTAATAATAGTAGTTATTCAGCGAGAATGACAGTTTCAGTTGACATCCTTCCCTAAAACATTAATAATTTTTGTCCTATCAAGAAGTGTGTTTATACCCTGATTTCAAAGATATATAAGCAAGATGAGAATATCTACAATTAAAAAAGAAATAAAGGTTTCAACTAACACCTCATAAGTACTTACTATCTACTCAGAATCGCTGTTATCACTAGTATCACTCGTATCATCTAAATTTATATGTAATTTGGTTAATGCTGGTAAATATTTAACATAGTCATTTTCCACTCCGATCACATGTTTTATTTTTATTACATTTTTCCAGTTGGTTGCTGTAATTTTTGTGACTTCTCTTCTAATTAACTGGAGAACAGTAGACAAAAAATTTTGGAGCAACGTTTCTTCTCATTATATTTCCTTTAAGTTGCTATTGGGTTCAATGTACAATAATAAGGAGGAAGTCTAAACACAGTATGCCCGTTACTACGAGCACAGTTGTCAACAACATATTCCTTTTCGTACTGTTTACTATGAACAACCTCCAACAATTGCTTTTTAATATAAGATGTCTCAAAATACAAATCTTCCGTGAATAAAAAATCCTGAATTTTTAATTTATTCCAACTATTATTTGAAGTTTTTTTATTAATCTTGAATGATATGATGCGTTGTCCATGATAATCACACTATCTTTAAGTAATTTCGGAAGAAGACATTTTTCAAACCATGATTCAAAACTTTCCATATCGTCATGATAATCCAGAGACGCGTTTTTAATTTGTTTTGCAGATATTAATAATGCATCGTCGACCCATCCATTTTCTCCACCGCAGTGTAAAATTATAATTCTCTTTCTTTTATTGGGCGGTACTGAGTTGAAACACTTTGTTATTATTTGTTCAACTTTTTTTTCACGGTTTCATGAGTATCATACCAGGTCTCATCTAAATAAACAATATTTCGTTTCATTTTCGATACTCAGTTATCTGTCTGATATAATTGTTTCTTAAAGAAATTATTCTAGTACTTTCCATTAATGTCTGTCTCTTATCTATAGTTTTGTACTTAAAATTATTGGTTTTAAGAAATAATCGAAGTGTTGTTGCTGAACACGAGAGAATGCACTTTCGAACTAATTCACTTCAAAGGCTTTCAATAGTTGGAAAAATATTAGCCGCATACATTTGGTATATTGTTCTAGTTATAGATTCAATTAAGTGCGGTTCTATTTTTCTGAATTTGCCACAATCCTTTCTCTTCTGTCTAGAAGAAGATGTTTCTCCTATAATTTTGTAGTGCGTTGCTTTGGGTACTCTGTTTAAAAAACATTTTTCTGCAATTGCCTCTGAATTAGACAATTCAGCACACAGTCCTTCATAAACATTTTTTAGCATACGTTTGGCTTCATCAGAAAGGTATTGAAAATGTCGCTTACGTTTTACTACACGCCTTTGTAAATCTTCCAATCGATTAGAGGGTTCCATTGTCTCTTTAGCTACATAATTATTATCGCACCACGGACGCAATATTTTAAAATTATCAAACGTATAAAAACATAATCACGTAAAAACGTATCAAAAAAAGTAAAAAACGTAAAATATAAAATGTTTTTCGTATAAAGAACACTGAAAAAAGTCACTACCAAACTAACTTGCGGCTCACTATTTGAAATTTGAATTTAACTGAACGCTGTAGCAGTTATGATTTTACTAAAAATATTCTTGTCTCCCAAAAATCTGTTGGTCATCTCCGCAATTTAAAAATAAAATATACAAATTTGCCTACCTAAGTTTTCCTCGTCCCGTGCCTTCGGCACTGGACGGTCGAAACCTGATCCCTTATTTTATTACTCCGTAAGCTCAGTCAAATACTGATATAATCTTACCCCAAGTATGAATAAGTCTACCGACAAAAGATAATGCATTATGATTTGTCATAACAGCGATATCCGATGTTTTCATTGGCCGTTAGTCCACGTGGAATTGTCATAAGTTCGATGAAAACTTAATTGGTTGATTGTTCATATCTGGTTCAGATTTTAAAAGATTATACCAGGCACGTCTGAATGTTAATATCGAGTGGAATCTGGAAACTTTGTATTATTATACGTCTGAGTCATTGATAATTTTACAGACTCCTGGTAGAGTACATTTTTGTTGAATGATTTTATTACAGATACATATATCTTTGCACAGTCTCACGGAAATACGAGGCTACTACATATTCAAAATTATATATACTTCATCTAATTTACATACCGATGCACGTCAGAGATCGAAGTTGACATAGTTGCCAAAGTATAAAAAAATCCTGAATCCATTTTAAATCAAATAGGTCACATAATTATTACAAAAGTATTACCATCTCTTTAGAACAACTATTTAAATTCTTACGTGACATTTTCGAAATAAAACACACTAATTTTGTTCTAAAAAGAACAGATTTTATTGAATAGGTAAAAATATAAAACAGGAGGTATTCACTTTAAAATTCAAAATAATGAAATACAAAAAGTGTCAACACCGCAACTGTCAAATAAGTGTTACCAATTTATGCCAAAATTTTACCTTCGTTCGATTACAGTTACAGTGTGTTCCGAACAAATGTTCTTAATAAAAACGCTTTATAATGCATTTATACAAATTAAATGAAACATATTATTGTGTAGGTATTTCTTTAAGTTAACATTAATAGAAATCTTTAAATATTATTTCTACGCGTATATAATAAAAGGTGTCTAGTGGCTGTAATGCCAGTATACTCGGCAAAGTGATTCTAAAACAGAACACACCTACCGCCTAAATATTTCGTGTTGGTATCATGTGACGTCACGAGCTATGACGCCGATGACGTGCATCGGTATGTAAATTAGATGAAGTGTACATACATTTAAAGTTCGGTATCGGCATTTAATTGCAATAATTTTTCTACTTTATTTTCACTAAGACATTAAAAATCTTTCTGATATCAATAATTGCCCTGATTTAGAGAAGATACTCTCACAAGGGACAGATGTTGCAACCGTGTCAACTTTTTCTGTCGCCACTTTAGGAAGATGTGAGTAATTGTAAGAGTGATCACTCCACCATTGTACTGGATCTTTATTTCTAAGAGATCTTCCTCTAGGTATTGCTGGACCTTAATTCTGGCCCTAGATGTGGCAGATACTATAGTCACAGAATAATAAATAATCAGAATGCCCACTCTGAAAAAATAAGTACGCTCAGACGGAATCAGCCATATTTTAGATGGAACCAGTGCTGTTCAGTGGCATTTTATCTGGTGTGCATAGATAAATTAACCCAGTTTAATTTATTTACGGCAACTATAGACTTCACTATGCACTATTTTATTCGTACTTTTAGTTGAAGAATAGATTAAATTATTAATCTCTAAAAATTTAAATTGTAGTTCTGCCATAGCTTGTCACAAATTTCTCAATTCGAGTCTGTTTCCGTCTAAAATCTGGTGATTGCGTGATTTAATAACGAATTTCTTGGTTCGTTCAGCTGCACGATTATATGTAAATCCCACATTTTTAAATCTAGGATCAATAAAACTAGACACTAGCAAAGTTTTCAAATTTTCCAAGTCTTCCAGGCGATCCGTAATACCTTTTAAAACCAGCCCGACCATATTTTGAATTTAAGGTAATGGATGTTCATTTTTTATTTCAATATCTTCAAGTTGTTTTGTCAAAATTATCACTGATGATAAAGCCACATATTTTTCCCCCCTTATTATTTTAGTCACTTCTTCCATTGGTTTTAAGCACATTCTTAATAGTTGAAGTAGTTGCCATTCTTTAATTGATATAATGGGAAAATTCTTTACATCTAATAAAGCCATAGTAGTGCGAACTTCTTCCTAAAATTCCAAAATTTTATCTACTATGTAATGTACTGCTTGGTTTATGAGCCAATAAGAACTACGAAAGAATAGGTATTATTTATAATAAATATTTTTAATATATTTTGATTCTAGGAATACCCTAACCTAAATTTTTAATTTGGGTATTCCCTTAATCAAAATCCGACGAAGTTGCGATCGGTTTTTATCTGCGATGCAAGCAACGTTTACTCACTCTCACCGA